CATCCCTTAGCGATGAGGAGCAGGCAGAGGAGGAGGACCGGCTCCTTGAGGATGGCGACAACCGCCCAGAGCATGGCGAAGACGAGGGCGGCGGTGTCGTCCCACGGGCAGGAGGAGAAGTAGAGGAGCGAGAGGATGCCGTTCGCGAGCTGGACGAGCGGCACCCAAGTCAGCAGCTTGTGCAGGTCGCGGGCAGAGGCTGCGTGCCGGACGTACCTGCAGGGGGGCGCGCGCCGGGGGGGGGGGGGAAGGCGCACGTGTTGTACGCCCAGAGCAGGGAGAGGACGAGCCAGGCGGGCGTCGCGCCCACCTAGACGGCAGGCACCTTGCGGTACGGCTCGCACGACGACTCCTCCCTCGTGAGGGTCGCGTTGTACGCCGCGCCGCCCTCCGCCACCCACGCCGCTGGGGGGGCGTCGCCTCCGGGGCTCACCGCGGCAGCGATCAGCGCAGAGGTGTTCGCGCTGACAAAGACAGCCGGGAGGAGCTCGCCGCACGAAGGCTCCGGCAGCGCGTGCTCCGGCGGACCGCAGTCCTTAGGCAGCATCCCCTCCTCACGAGGGTAGCGGTAGTCGCATGCCAAGAGCACACCGCTCGCGTTTGCGCTCGCCGCGCTGCAGATGGCGTCGGCGACGTTGCAGGCGGAAGCTTCGCTGCAGGAGGCGGATGGCACCAGGAGGACAAGCCCCTCCAGGTTACGCCGCCCCTCGGGCTGCTCACTCCACTCACAAGCACACGAGGCTGCGACGGCGAGGCGGCCGCTCACAAAAAAGTCGTCGACATCGGGCGGATAAGGCGCGTCCAAAAAGGTGTCCTGGCCCGCGATGGGCGGCGATATCTCGATGGCCACCGTCACGCAAAAGAGGAGCGACAGCATTGCTGTGAGGAGCGGCGCCGCTCGGCTAGTGACACGAGATTTTTTTCTCTTTTCCCCCTGCTCGAGTAGGTGACGCCCCCGCCCCTGCAACACAACCGCGGGAAGGGAGAAGAGACGGGAGGGGAGGACGAGGTCGAGGACGAGGCGCTGTTTGCCGGCAGATCCGGCTCCGACGACGAGGAGGTGGAGGTCGAGCTGGTGGAGCCAGAGCTACAGGGACCGCCCCACTTGCGCGTCGGCGAGGCTGGCTACATCTCATCTTACCACCGGCAGTGGTTCAGCGACTCGAACCTCGCCAACGCACACTACGTAGACGAGCGACCAGACGGCGAGAGTGGCGCCGGCTCGCCGCTGCGGTACAACTACCCCCGCGACGTAGCCTCGGCATGCAGCATCTTCCGTCAAAGAGGAGGGCAGCGGGTGCTGCAACTCTGCGACTGCGTGATGTTGCAGCAGGTCTGCGACGGCGCCCATTGGCACAACGTCGCGCTCATCGGGCCTCAGCGGCTCGCCGTGCACTGGGAGCCGTTCGGCACCAGCATTTGCGAGCCGGCTTGTGATTCAAAAGAATTTTGCCTCCCGCCATACGCCTGTGCGCGAGCCCATCTCTCCTGGACATGACTGCTCTATTATTTATTTATTGCGCGACTCGCGGCGCGCTCGTGGCGTTCAGGGCGGCTCGCACACGCGCGCGCGCACACACACACACACACACACACACACACACACACACACACACACACACACACACACACACACACACACACACACACACATGCACACATGCATGCATGCACAGACACACAGCCCCTTCCCCTCCCCCCTCAAGACCTTCCCAAGGGCGAGGACACGTGCAGGCCGCACCTCTAGTGAGGCCCGCATAGTATGTGGGAGACTCATGCCGCCGCCCCTGCCACCCCTGTGTCAGTGTGCCTGTGGTTGCGAGAGACTGCCAGTGCCTGAGAAGCTGGAGGCAGGTCGCTAGACTGAGATGAGACCGCCAGTGGAGTTGGGAGTCCACCGTGCACCGCGCTGCGAGCCTGTCGTGTCCCTTGTCAGGACGACAGGAGCAGGAGAGCCCCACCTGTCCCCCTGATCGTCCTTCCAAAATCCTGCTCGTGCAGGTGTGGACCCTGTCCTCCTCCCCTATCCCTCGTTTGGGTTGTCTGTTTTCTTTCTTTCTGCGCGACTTCGAAAGACGGTGAGGCCCGTACGAGGCCGGCATCGCACACGGCAGGGATGACGGGACGGCTGTGGAGCGAAGTGGCCGTAGCCAGCCTCAAACACCCATGGGACAATAAGATGAGATTGCCAGATGAGAATGGGGGGAAGGACAGGCGAGCGACATTTGACGACGTCGGAGGTCACAATGTGACGACCAAAACGATCTTGCTTTGGAGCCAGGCCCAGGGTGAGACAACAGGTCGGGGTGCCACACGGTGCACACCACAGGCGTATTCTAGAGAGAGGGGGGAAAGAACCGGGGAATGACCAAAAGCTGCAGAAACGAGCTTTTAGTGGCTCTATAAGCATAGGCACTGAGACGATGGTGCGCGCGGAGCGCGCTGGTGCTACCTGGACATACGCGCGGAGCGCGCTAGCTGGACACCCGCGCGGAGCGCGCCGGCTAGATACCGCGGAGCAAGAGCAAATCAACACAACCGTTCGAATGCTGACGCCGCAAGGTCGTTGCCGCCGAGTGCCTAAGTGCGCCTGGATTGCTCAGCAGCACAAGCATCCACGGAGCCAGCGAGCGCCGAGCGACATTGCCTTGACTGAGCCGGACCGCGACATGTCGGCGGGTCAAACTTGTAAAATGGTGCCGATAGCCGAGGTAGCTCCGGCGGACGTGAGAGCACGGCCTGACGATCAAGCACGAGAGCGACGGAACGGAGGCGCAGATAACTGGCGGTGAACTCACAGTGCTGATACCTGCTGGAGCTGCGTAAGATGCAGTAGCACTGCCGCAGAGTACGCGCGGAGCGCGCCGCTGGAAAGCACGCGCGGAGCGCGCCGCTGGGTAGGTGCGGAGTGCCGCCACTTGAAATTGGCCTGTGGGTGGGCCGAGACCCGAGTGGTTCCTGCGTGTGAGTCAAACTCGATAGAAATCGCATCGCGCCCTCCACAACCCTCAAAATTTTCCTCGGAGCGCGCTCCGCGCGCGGCGCTCCGCGCCTCACTCCTGGAGCGTCATAGAGCTGTTTAGCTGTGTGGTGGCGGCGTGCCGTCCTCCCATCCTCAGACCGCTTTTCTTCTTTCTTTCTTTGTGCGCAACGACGCAAGAGAAAACCCAAAACTCAAGTCAGACTCACTGCAAAACTTCCCTGTGGGCATCCCGCGAGCTCGCAGAACGCGACGGCAGTCAATACCCTCTCGGTGTTTTACTTCTTCGCAGATCGAGAAAAGAAATTCTGCGCGCGTCGCTCCTGCCAGCGACCCGATCCATCGCGTGAGACCCGATCCACCGCTGCTGCTGCTGCCTGCTGCTGCTCGATCCCTCCGCCGTCGCGACCGTCGGACGTTGCCACACACGAATGCTGGCCGCGGTGCTCGACCGACGCCAGGTCGTCGCGGCAGGCGGGCTGCTCGCCGCCTCGCCCTCCGGCCAGAGCGGCGCCAGCCTGCCTCCTCTGGCCACATTCGGCGTCCAGGTCTATGACGACGACGCTGCCGAGCGCTACACCACGCAGGCGCTCGAGGCCGGCTACCGAAGCTTCTTCACCTCGCCAGAGGCCGGCAACCAGCGTGGCTTCGCCCGCGCCGTCCGTGCGAGTGGCGTGCCGCGACAGGCGCTGTATATCGCCGGCAGCGTCCTCTCGGACGACGCGGAGAGTGAGCGCGCCGCGCGCCAGCTGACAGCGACCGCTTGCGACGAGAGCCGCAGCGCCCTCTCCGACGGCGGCGTCGAGACGCTCGACCTGCTGCTGATCGAGCGCCCGGCCGGCAGCCGCGCCGCGGTCCGTGGCCAGTGGCGTGCGCTCGCCTCGCGCCGCGAGGAGGGCTGGGCGCGAGGGCTGGGCACGTGCAACTTTGGCGCCGCCCAGCTTGACTGGCTTCCCGAGCGCCCGCTCCTCAACCAGTCGCCCTTCTCGCTCGGCGTGCGCATGCCGCACGCCGCGGTGCTGCAGCAGCACCGGCTGCGCGGCGTGGCGCTGCAGGCGTGGGGGCCACTCGGCGGCCCGTTTGGCGCCTTCCCGGCGCAGATGTGGCAGGCGTGCGCCGAGGTTGGGGCCGCGCGCCGAGCGTCGCGAGAGCAAGTGGCGCTCCGCTGGATCACGCAGCAAGGCGTGGGATGCTGCGTGCACTCGCGATCGGCCGCGCACCTGCGCCAGACCCTCGCGGCCTGCAGCGGCAGCTTTGACCTGACCGAGCGGGAGCTGGTGCGGCTCGGCGAGCTGGCAGCCGAGCCGTTGGTGTGAGCTCTCCCCGCCACGACCGCAGGCTGGCGGCTGCAGCTTCCGGCGAACAGGCGCTCGTGGACTTGTCGGCGCTTCTCTGCCGCAGCTGCTGGCTGTGCGGGGGGCGCAGGTAGCGCAGTCGTGACTTCGACGCGCCTCAGAGGCAGGCGACACTCGCAGCGGCCCGGCTCGCCGGGAGAGGCTCGGTCTCGCTGCTCGTGGAGCCCCGCCCCGTTCGCCTACGGCCTCGGCGGGGCGGTCGGCAAGGTGCACCGCCGCCGCTCTGGCAGCTTGAGACGCCAAGGCGCACGGGGCGTCTCGGAAACCATCCACAGCTCCTGAGTTCCCGCGACGGATCACATGCTGATAAGGGCTGCCACTAGAAGGGCATGTATCGAAGGGCTCGCCCTGAGTCAGGTGAGAGTAAGTTCGAAGCAGCAGGGATGAGCTTAGAAGTGCACCAGGGGGGGTACCGTCTACCGAGCAGTGTGCGGCCGCTCTTGCATGCGCGGGGCTGCAGTACCAGTAGCGCGTTTGCGCGCCCCCGGGTAATGAAATCAACTTTTTGTACTTTTCATTTCATCCTAGTAGACATAGTAGACATCCTAGTAGACACATAGAGCCGTGTAGTATAGACAAAAAAAACTGTTCAGTTTTCAAAGGCAGAAACGCCGGCGTACGCCCTCCCCTCACACTGACACTTCTCCCCTATTCCCAACTTTAGGTTGCGCACGTCTCCCAGCGAGCTAGGATCTCCGCTTTTTCTCCCCTAGTCATCCGCCCGCGCCGCGCGCCTCTATGGGCGTCTAGTGCAGCCACTGACAGAACTATTCCCGAGGAGTGGTCGACGTCTCGCCTGAAGTCGGGTGGGCTCGCGCACTGCTTAGCCCTAGGGGAGGTGTGTGTGTGAGGTGGTGGAATGGTAAGGTTTCAGGCCACAGGGGTGGGGGATTTGGGGGATGAGTCAGGAGCCAGCAGCCTTCCTACTGGACCTGAGTTCTCAGCTCTTCCGCCCGACGGGGTGGTCCCTTGGATTCGGGCCCCGCTCCCTTTTCCTGCGCCTGGTCTGTCCCTGTCATGAGTGTGTTGCGAGATGCAGAGCGGTTAGCTGGAGCACAGAGCTGGAGCACTGTCTGGTTAGGCTGGAGAGCTGTTAGGTACTGTTAGGCTGGGGCACAGAGCTGGTTGGGCTGGAGCACAGAGCTGGTTAGGCTGCTGGTTAGGCTGGGGCACAGGGCTGGTTAGGCTGGAGCTGTTGGAGCACAAAGCTGGTTAGGCTGGAGCAGAAAGCTGGTTAGGCTGGAGCGCGGGCGGTGCGGCGGCCGGCGAGGGCAGCGCGGTAGGCGAGAGGCGGCCGCGGGGCGTCGAGTGGCGCGATAGGAGGGTAGACTGGCCGTGGGGGGGCGCCGCGTGACCTCGGCAAATAAGTGATAAATATTGGTTTATGAGGGGCCAGTTTGTACGCATTGGCAAATCGAGCCTGGGGCGTGGCCTAGTTGGTGCAGCGTTCGGGTCGGGGACGTTTTGGTCGTTGGTTCGAGCCCAGCTGGTGCAGTTCGTAGTCGCGCAGCGACGCGGGCGTGCGGGTGCGCGGCAGCCTCGGCAACCGAGGCGACAGTGGCGAGCAGGGGCGAGCAGGGGCGAGCAGGGGTCAAAGCAGTGCGGCGCGCCGGATTTGTTCGATGGGCTCGGTCCGTGGGCGTGTCAGGAGGCGGCCGGCTGGGAGAAACTTGCGAAAAACTCCCAGGCCGGCCCAGGTGGTGGGTGTGTCACGGAGGCGGCCATTGGCACGCGCTCCTTGTAACCGGGGTCAAGTTTTTTCCGTGTAGTATAGACATATACCTAGACACATCCGTCTGTCCTTTCGTGTTTCCGACCCCGAGGCAGTAGACATCCTAGTAGACATAGTAGACATAGTAGTGGACATCGACGTCAAAGGAGCAGATGCCGGCGCTAGTTGCACTCTGGGCAGCCCGCACAGTTGCGCTGCCATTTGCACTTCGTCGCCCACGAACTGCACAGACAGGGGCCGGGAGGCGGGTGGGGGTGAGGAATGCTTGCGCGTTTGGCCGGTGAGTGGGAGGTACACATGCGAGGTGAGTGGGTGCGTAGGAGAGTGTGTGGGAGACAGAGAAGGGCTGCACGCACTTTCCATTGTTCGCGCACCAAGGTTTGCAATTGGGCGGCGGCGGCGTCACAGCGTCGCACTCTGGGCAGCCCGCACAGTTGAGCTGCCATTTGCACTTCTTCTCCCACGAACTGCAGAGTGAGGGCCGGGAGGGGTGGAGGGTGAGGGGTGCTGTCCCTGCGCATTTGGCTGGCGTGCAGCCGTCGGTGAGGTGGAGGTACACAACATGTGTATGCACATGTGCATGGTGATGCACATGCAACATGCACAGGTATAGGTGCAAGTGCATGTGAGGTGCGTAGGAAGGAGAGTGGGGGTTAGAGGAGGGCTGCACGCACTTTGGATTGTTTGCGCACCAAGGCTTGCACGGGGATGGCGAGGCGGACGGAGGAGGCGGCGAAGGCGACGGAGGAGGCGGCACGGGTCTGGCGGACGGCGACGGCGAGGCCGACGGAGGAGGCGGCACGGGCCGGGCGGACGGCGACGGCGAGGCCGACGGAGGAGGCGGCACGGGTCTGGCGGACGGCGACGGCGAGGCCGACGGAGGAGGCGGCACGGGTCTGGCGGACGGCGACGGCGAGGCCGACGGAGGAGGCGGCACGGGTCTGGCGGACGGCGACGGCGAGGCCGACGGAGGAGGCGGCACGGGCCGGGCGGACGGCGACGGCGAAGCCGACGGAGGAGGCGGCACGGGTCTGGCGGACGGCGACGGCGAGGTCGACGGAGGAGGCGGCACGGGTCTGGCGGACGGCGACGGCGAGGCCGACGGAGGAGGAGGCACGGGCCGGGCGGACGGCGACGGTGCGGCAGATGAAGGCGGCGGAGGCACGGGCCCGGCAGATGGCGGCGGAACGGTGGAGTTGCCGGTGATGAGGTACACGTCGTAGGCCCCTGCAAGCGGTCATCAGGGCGGGTGAGTTGACGGGTTTCTTGGGGTAGGGGGTCTGATTGAGGGCAGGACTTGTGGCACCGCAGTTGTCGAGGGAATTGTCGGTGCCGCACACTCCACGGTCGCCCTCACAAACGTCGCCTGCATGGGGGCACAGCGGCGCCAGAGTGAGCGCGCTCGACGGGGGAGGGACGAGCAGGCGAGGAAGCGGGGGGGCGGGCGCCGTAGGTGAGCTCGCACGAATCGCAGTTCGGGAGGAAATTCATCCCGTTGGGAGGGCACTCGGACGGCGCAACCGCGATCAGCGTGCGATACTCCGGCACGCTGCACGAGGTTGTGCACGTGAGTGGTGGGCCCGGGCCGGGCGGCGGCGGCGAGGGGCTGGGCGGAGGCGGCGGAGGCGGCGACGCTGCTGGCGGCGACGGCGGAGGCGGCACGGGCCGGGGCGGACGGCGACGGTGCGGCAGATGAAGGCGGCGGAGGCACGGGCCCGGCTGATGGCGGCGGAACGGTGGAGTTGCCGGTGATGAGGTACACGTCGTAGGCCCCTGCAAGCGGTCATCAGGGCGGGTGAGTTGACGGGTTTCTTGGGGTAGGGGGTCTGATTGAGGGCAGGACTTGTGGCACCGCAGTTGTCGAGGGAATTGTCGGTGCCGCACACTCCACGGTCGCCCTCACAAACGTCGCCTGCATGGGGGCACAGCGGCGCCAGAGTGAGCGCGCTCGACGGGGGAGGGACGAGCAGGCGAGGAAGCGGGGGGGCGGGCGCCGTAGGTGAGCTCGCACGAATCGCAGTTCGGGAGGAAATTCATCCCGTTGGGAGGGCACTCGGACGGCGCAACCGCGATCAGCGTGCGATACTCCGGCACGCTGCACGAGGTTGTGCACGTGAGTGGTGGGCCCGGGCCGGGCGGCGGCGGCGAGGGGCTGGGCGGAGGCGGCGGAGGCGGCGACGCTGCTGGCGGCGACGGCGGAGGCGGCGACGCCGCGGGCGGCGACGGCGGTGAGCCCGGCGACGGCGGAGGCGACGGCGGACTGGGCGGGCCGGTGGTCAGGCACGAGGCGACGTCGGCCGCATCAAACTTGTTGTAGAGCAGCTTGTTGGCGGTGTCCGCCGGCAGAGGCTGGGTGACTGCATCCTTGGTGGACATGCAGAGCATCGCGTCCGTCACCTCCTCGGGGGTGAGCGCCGGGTTGAGTGACCGAATCTGCGCCGCCACGCCAGCAGCGTGCGGCGTCGCCATGGACGTGCCTGCGTCGTGGCCAAAGGGATGGACGGGGGCGGGAGGCTGGGGTCGGGGGCAAGGGTATAGCGCACCCGAGATTGTCCTGGTGGCGTCGTCGGAGCCGGACCAAGCCGCCTTGATATCGCGCCCCGGCGCAAAGATGTCCATGCAAGGCCCGTAGTTGGAGAAGGAGGAGCGACCATCGTCGATATCGGTCGAGCCGACGGTGATAGCCTCCAAGGTTGACGCGGGCGACTTCTGGCACGCGTCGCCGTTGTTGTTCCCTGCGGCGACAACCGTGAGGACTCCCGCCGCCATCGCCGCCTGGATGACGGCGTCGTACCGGTTCGCCCCGCCCCCGCCGAGGGACATCGAGAGGACCGCCGGGAGGTCGCGACTCTGCGCGTCGGCGACCGCCCACTCGATGCCCGCCATCACGCCGGCGTAGGAGCCGGAGCCGCCGCACGAGAGCACCTGGACGGTGATGATGGTGGCGCCCCTTGCAACGCCGTAGGTGGTGCCGCCGGCGGTCGAGGCGCAGTGGGTGCCGTGGCCGTTGCAGCGGGAGGAGCTGGAGTCAATCACGCCCTGGTAGACGTAGCCGGACACGTCGTTGCCGCACGAGCTCTCGCTGCCCGTCGGGCAGCCAGCGGACCAGCCGGCCAAGGCGCGGCCGCCAAAGTCGACGTGGCCGATGCGGACGCCTGCCGCACGGCGGTACGAGGGGCGCGGTGCGAGGGGCGCGGTGCGAGGGGCGCGGTGCGAGGGGCGCGGTGCTAGGCGTGCCGGTGTCGAGGATGTAGACGAGGGAGCCAGAGCCGGTGACTCCGGAGTCGTCGTAGAAGCCGTCGGTCCCATCGCGGCTGTCGATGCGGTCGATGCCCCACGCTTGAGCTGGCACTGGCGCCCCCGCTGGCAGGTCGTCGAGCTGGATGATGCAGTTGGGCTCCAGCTCCACCTCGCTATCGAGGACAATGCTGTCGAGGATGGAGGTATTGACGGGAGCGATGGCAACCATTCGGGCCATTGGCAGGCGCTGGACGACGTTGGCTCCATATAGGTCGAGTTTCTTGACGAGCTTGGCGACGCAGGCCGTGCCCGAATCCTGCGGGGGGCGGTCGATTGTGAGTTGCGGGATCGGTGTATTTGATGTTGCGGGAGCAGGCGGCGATACCTGAGTCGTGAATCGCGCCGACTCGTGAACGAGGAGGCCGGCGGCTCCGTTCTTCCCGCACGAATCGACTGCTGCTTGGAGGCGTCGCTTGCGCTCAATGCCGAGGCGCGTCGGCGCGGCCGTCGCGGCCGCGAGGAGGAGCACGAGGGTGGTGGTGAACATCGCCAATGCCCAACTGGGAGCTCGCTTTAGGCGTTTTGCTGGCGGTGATGATATCACGTACCGGGTAGGGAAAAAACTCGAAACGTGCCAGCAAAACGCGTAAAGCGAGCTCCCCTGTGAGCATGAAAAAGCGAGCCCGCCTGGCCGATTTCGGTGCCTGTGGAATCCCTGTGTGGTGGCGTTCTGTGCCACTGTCGGGCCTGCACCATCAGCAAACAAAGCCGACGTATGTGTGTGTGTGTGTGTGTGTGTGTGTGTCGGGCAGGTGCGCTTCTCTCTCTGGTGGTGGTGGTGGTGGTGGTGCTGCTGCTGGTGGTGCAGATGCTGCTGCTGGTGCGGCGCGGCTCTCCGACTCGACTCGGTGCGCGCGTCGCGGCTATCTGACGCGGCGGGCGGCGTCGCGGGCGGCAGCGGTGGCGGCTCGCGGGTGGAGGTGGAGGCTGGAGGCTGTGGTGGGTCTTTGAGTTTATTTCATGATGGACTACGAGGACTGGGGGATCAACCGGGAGGCAGGGGGTTCGACCTGGCGACGGAGGACCGTGGGCCATCGCGGGGACTGCTGCGTACGGAGGACGCGGCAGGCAGATCCGGATGGTCTCACCCGGTGGGTGGCACCGAGGCGTCTGGGACGCTCAGCTCTACCTTAAGCTCCTGAGGGGCGCGTGGTTGTAACCACGTAGTAGGACTACAGCCCACCACAGACACCCTCCCCACTCCTCACGTGTGTTCACACCCTCACCCTCTCCTCTCTCCTCTCTCTCTCTCTCTCCTCTCTCTCCTCTCTCCTTGTCTGTGCTGTCTGCCTGACTCAGGCACTCAATCTGCCGATGCGTGATTGTGTGTGGGCTGCTCCGAGGGGGCCCTCTGTGCGATCCGACGGGTAGGGGGGCTGTGCCCGGGCGGTGTCCGGTGTGGAGTCCCCTTCTGATCCCGCCTGGGATGTTGGGTGTGAGGTTGTGGCGGCTTCGATCCCAAGGGGGGGAGCTGATCCCACTCAATAACCAACTCTCAGGGGCAGTAGGTGGGCGAGCTTCAGGCACGCTCATCTCGATCGTCAAGACGTCGCTACGCGCGGTCTTCCGCGGGGGGAGCTGCGTCGACGGGTGCGGGACCGCGGCGCAGCCAGTGCCGCGGCGAGGCCTCCGGCTGTTTGCGGCGGGCGGCTTGCTGCTCGCGGCGATGGCGAAAAACTCGTCTCGCCACACGCCAAGGGCTTATGCTCTGGCGAGACGTGAGGCGCATGCGCCCAGGAGGGGAGGGGGCATGTGTAACGACACTGCTAGAGATGCCTTTCGGGGCCCAGAGATAAAACTTCTGTGATGCCATGCGTGACCTAGTAGTGTCCCCAGCTATGGGCGTGTCCACGTTGGAGCCAGGTGTGGTGTGGGCGCGAGAATAGCTCCGCCGTTCATGGAGGCAACCGATGCGAGTCGACTGGTGTGTGTCGTCGTGGTTTCGTATCAAGAATACTCACTCACTCACTCACCGACGTATGTGTATCGCCCCCACCCACCCACCCATGAGCCATGTACCTTTTGCAGCTGTGTCATGAAGCAAGAAAGATAGACTTAGAAAGCATGAACCATCGAAAGGTCTGGTCTCCAAAAAGAATTTAAACAAAACAACTCTCTCTCACAGCAGACAGGCTCGACACAGGTGCGGACTGGCGCGTGCTAGCACTAAAAAGAACTCTCGGCGCCCGCCGCGCGCGCCCGCGCCCCGCCCCTTTTGCGCAGCAACACCTTAAATTGAGAGATCAAAAATCTCTCTCCTTTAAATTCCATGGCCCCCTCAAAAAAATTCACACAAAAAATTCTCGGAGCGGAGGTGGGCCCCGATTTTGAGAGAGATTTTTAGAAGCCAACAAGAAATGTGTCACACACAGTGATTTGGGCTCGGCAGCTTGTCGACTACCAGCCGGAGCCGGAGTCGGAACCGTAGCCGAGATGGTCGGCGAGGGTGTCGAATATGTCATTCGCCTCGCTAGTAGAGCCGGTGCCGCATGAGTCTTGGTCGGAGGAGGAGTCGTCGGAGGAGCGGTCGGACCGCTCGCGCTTGTCGCGCCTGATGCGCTCTGCGAGGGGGCCGGGGTCGTAGTTGTCGTGCTCGAGCGTCGGGTAGGTAGCGCGCCTTGCGACCCTGTCGGCCGTGCTGCCGTCCCAGTAGAAGGTATACCAGTCGCCGCGAGGGTAGAACCAAGCGTTGACCAATCTGTACCGTCCGAGAGCGGCCGCCTGAGCGGCCTGAGCAGCCGCCTGAGCAGCCGCGCGGGCAGCCGCGGCAGCGGCAGCCTCTCGCCGCTGCCTCGCGCTTGCCTTCTTCCGATTTTAAAAAGGCGACGGACGCTTGCGTCCAAAACGCCTCCCCGGCGCAGAGGGGCCGCAGGGAGGCCGGTACTCTTGCGGCCAGTACAGGTGTATTCTTTTTTTGCTTGGCCCGTACGTCATGAAATTCTGCAAAAACCTGGACGGCCCCTGCGGTGCCCCTACCTACCTACCTACCTACAACAAACACCAAGAGCTCGTCAAGGCGCGGGACGTGCACGTCAAGAACAACCCGTCCCTCGGAGACAGCGCCGTCAACAACCGCGAAGCCTCGCGCTTCGTCTCCGCCTCAACGCCTTTCGCCGGCAAAGCCCTCGATGTCCGTGTCGACGGCACGTACGCCACCGCCCTCTCCTCCGACGCCCTCCAGGACGAGCTCCAGCGGAAGCTCGGCCTTTGGCTCTCCGTGGCGCTTCCCACCCTTCGGGTCGCGCTCGAGCGGGGCATGCCAGTCGATTTCTTCGGCGACTACCTTTACAACAAGGCCCACCACCGGCGGCCCCACGACGGCGTCCTCGCCGCCTGGGCGGACGCGATGCGCGCCCCGGCCAACGCGCCGGTCGTGCACGGTGACAAGGAGAAACCAGAGCTCACCCGGCAGTACAACGAGGGGTACAAGGTCGACCTCGCGGAACCCCACGCTGGCCCGGGAGGGTGCGATGAGGTGAATGAAGTCAAGCTCTGGACGCCCCTCCTCAAGACCTCCTCGGCGGGCGTTGGCAACGCCTCGAGCGGCGGCACGCCCGCCTCCGTTGGCCACTCCTACGCCTTCGGCAACACCGAAGAGAAGGCCCGCCGCCTAAACATGGGCTGCAAGGCGCGCGGGCAGCCCGGCCAACCCTTCTCCCACAAGAACGGCCACGGCTACGTCAAGGCGCATCGCGGTTTCTACCACGACGCGATCTTTGTCAAGCGCAACAACTTCAACCTGCTGCTCCACGAGACGTTCGGCGGCGGCTTCTCGCCCACCGCCGTTCTCAAGCTGCGCCGCCTCGCGCGCAAAGCCGCGCGCGGCAGCGTCGACCGCACGGCCTACTCGCCCAAGTACTCGCTTTCTTTTATGTCCCACCATGCAGAGCGCATCTCTCTCTCTGTTGTGCGAGGCGTGAACCGCGCCATTCGCTCTCACCTGGCAACCCTGTCTGCACGTCTCGCGCGCGCGTGAACAGGGCTCCAGGCCCCAAATGACGTGTGAGTGTTAGAGTTGTTTGGTATTGCTAAAAATCTCTCTCTCTCAAACACTCTCTCTCTCTCTCTCCTACCTACCTACCCTACTTATGGGAAACTAAAAAAGAAATCACTCGATGGGTGAAGGTGGGGTACCATACCAACTAAAGTGATGGTTGGTGGTACTCTCCTGCAACCACAGTCTTTCCTGTGACATGGCAGGCCACTCTCAAGCCCTACAAGCACCAGATCACCCATTTGGGGAGGGTTGACATCGTGATTTTCGCGGAAAATTTCTTTTTCTGCTGTGAAAATTCCAGCGTGAAGAGAGGGAAAAACCCGACGGGAGGGCCCAGACCTACCCTACCTACCCCGTCATGACGTACGGGCCAAGCAAAAGAATCAGTACTCGAGTACTACTAGTATAATAGTATGCACATGGGTAAAGTGGGTTGAGGCGGGCTAGTACTGTAGGGTGGTCGGACTGTCTATTGGGATTGACCCCAGCTATCTCTGTGCCGGTGTGCCTAACAGCCAAGGGACGCCAAAACCACTAAAGGGCGACCCTTGCGCCTTGGTCATTCATGAGCCTCGCTGTCGCCTCACTCACCGCCCTCGCTTCTGGGTGCTTCTCAAACAGCGCCCAATTCGAGCGGTGGAGCCACTTCAAGGACTACGGCCTTCCGGGCGTCAAGCACGACCCGCTCAACCAGGCTGCGATCGCAGACGGCTCCTGCCGCCTCGTTGAGCCTCCACTCGAGCTAGACGGCGACTCGTTTTGGACGCAGCGTGCACGCGTGAGCGCCGTGCTCGCCGCCCTCGCCGAAGCTCCGCCCACCGACAAGCCGTCTCATTTTGTGCGTGCCACTAATGCGCTACTCCGGAGGCCTTGCAGTACGCCATTTCCTGCACTCCCGGCAAACTTCACGCTCGGAGAGCGCAAGGCCGCACTCCAGAACTGGTACCACGCTCTGTGCGCGCCGGAGGCCGACTCTAGCTGGGCCGGCCAGTACGATCCCGCCGAGCAGCCGCAGCAGGCGGCGTTGACGGCTGGCTTCGCCTGCATCGTGGCGTGCGGCGCTAGCGGTGGCAAACTCGGCGGAAAGGCGATGAGCAGCCTCACTACGGGCGCGCAGGCGGCCCGCAAAGCGCTGTGCGCCGCGCTGCCCTGGGGCACCGTCGACTTCTCGACGGCGGCGACCGAAGCGGAGTTGGGCCGGATGGCGTCGCCTGTGCTGAGCAAGCCATGCGGTTGCGCACTCACGGGAGAGCTCTGAGTTTGATCCGTTTTTGTGTACACATGTACAGTGAACACTGCACCCTCGGGCTCTCAGTCTCAGAACACACGAAGTGTAAAGATAGAAGCGAATGCCGATCAAGTGTCACACACAGTGTGAGTACCGTAATGTCGTCCGTTTGTTTCCACCCCCCACAATTTGAGGGCACAATAAATATTTGTGAACGCGCGCGTGGCCGCTTGAGAGACTGCAACGTCAAAGCCAAACACAACCGACTCGAGTCTCACCTCGCCCGCCCGGTGAGGCGTGAGGCAGTCTCAGTCTGCTCCTCGAGAGCAACTCGCGTGCCGCCGCCCGTCGGCGCAAAATCGAGGGCGGCGGGCGGCTCCGTGCCGGTGTAGCGGAGGTAGCGGAGGCGATCGCGGCTGCAGGCGTTCCACACGCCCCGCCGCGCGAGCCGCGCCGCCACCGGGACCTGCAGCTCGGGGTAGCCGAGGTGGACGCGCTGCGCCTTGGCGGCGACGTAGACGGCGGTGGCGTTGGCGTCGAGCACGCGCAGCAGGTCGTCGAGGGCGGAGGGCGCGCTGAGGAAGCAGTTGTCATTTGCCATCTTGTGCATCGTGCCGTACGGGTGGCACGGGCTCACGCTGCTCGCCGCCCTCGCCGCCCACTCGCGCACTGCGGCGCCATCGCCGAGGGCGGAGGAGCGGGTGGGCGCGTGTGCGAGTAGGGCAACGCAATCCCAGATGAGCTCGAGGTCGTCCGCCGAAAGCTTGCGCCCGAACAACTCCTTCCCCTCCGGCCGCAGCCGGATCGCCGCGTCGTACTCCAACAAGCCTCCTCCGCCTCCTCCGCCTCCTCCGCCTCCTCCGCCTCCTCCGTGCTGCTGCTCGTGGCTGGCGCGCAGCCGTGCTGCGCCGCGCATGCCGCGAGCGTTGTAGAGCCAGCCAGCATAGCGCTCCGCCCCCCAATGCAACCTGCGGATGGTGTCGAACGGTTTCCCGTCGGGCGCGAGCGGCGCCGGCCCTCCCGTCGCCCTCGCCGCCACCGCCGAGCCCGCCGCAGCCCGCCCAGCCGCCGCCCGCCAGACCGCCGTGCCATTCTGCTCCTCGATGAGAAGGGCGGCCGGCTCGAGCGCGGCCCGCAGCCGCGTGACGCACGCGGCGGAGCTCCGGTCCGCACCGCGTCTCGCACCCGACCAGTGCAGCGTCGCGGGCTCGAGCGAACTCCAGGTGTGCACAAACACTGAGCACGTGCGGAAGCGGCGCCGGCAGGCGCTGAGGTGGCGCTCGACAGCGCCAAACGCACAGCTCGTACGCAGGTGACCGGAGACCTGCAGCGCGACCCGGGCCGGGATCTTGCCGCCTCCGGGTGGCGGCGGGAGCGGATCCCAGTCCACCCTGACACCGCGCCCTGTCACCCTGCCGTGCCGAAACGTGGCGTTCGGCGTCGTGGCTTCACAGCTTCCCGAGCAGGAACAGTGGCGTTTGAACCTTGAGACGCTCACGTACTTGCAGCCTGGCGTCCGCGCGGCCAGGGCGAGGCACCAGTCCACGGCCGAGAGCCACGAGTGCGGCGACGGCATGCGGTGGGAGGCGCCAGCGAACGCACAGGCGCCGCCGGACGAGGTGGCGATCCAGCGCGCGCCGCCGTGGTGGGCGGGAGCGGGCTGCTCCGCCATGAAGGGACGAGCGCGAGCTGGTTGAGCGCGAGTTGGACCGGGCCGGGACTGGGCCGCGAGGCGCGCGAAGCCATATCCACCGCGCCTCCTTTCCGCGAATTCTTCCTTTTAAAATGGCTTGGAGAGTGTGTGTGTGTGTGTGTGGCTTGGGAGAGTGGCCTGCCATGTCATAGGAAGGACTGTGGTTGCAGGAGAGTACCAGTGTACCACCAACCATCACTTAGTCGCTATAGTAAAAGAAAGGAAGAAAACAGAGAAGCCAAGGGAGGGATGGGAGGACGGCACGCCGCCACCACACAGGGATTTTAGGGGAGAAGTGTGGTGCTAGCCGTCGCCCACCCTCGGGCGTCGACCTCTTTCTATCTCCCTTCGCAGTTTCTCACCAATTCTCGCAGCGACCTTCATGCCACCTCGCGTTCTTCCCACTCTCGTCGTTCTCTCTCCTGCTGTCTCTTCCCCTGACTCATCGCTCTCCACGGCCTCGTTCTGAGACGCCGCTGTCGTCTGCCGATCTCTTGCTCTCGCTGCTTCTCTCGCCTTTCTGCGTAACTCCGCTCTCCTCTCCGCGTATTTTGGTCCCTCGAGTTTATCGAGCATTCCTCGCGCAAGGAGCGACCACATTTCTGAGAGAGACGAGATTTTTAGCAATACCAAACAACTGGCAACCCTGTTCCCTGTCTGCACGTCTCGCGCGCGCGTGAACAGGGCTCCAGGCCCCAAATTACGTGTGAGTGTTAGAGTTGTTGTCATTTCTGACTCCCACCGCGATCATATCCCGCCCTGTCATGGTCGTTACTCAGGTCCACTCTCGTTTCGAGCACTTGTACCTCAAACTGTCGGTGTTGGCACTGGTGTTCCCTTCGGGTATATCGTGACAACAGCTGACGGCGGGATTTCCACTGGTGTTTCGTCCTCCTCGGGGTCGTCTTCCCCGGCTTCCTTGCGTTCGGCGTGGCTCACCCTCCATGCCGTGAACAGGCGCTTTATCCATCCACTCTATATTCTTCTCTCGTTCCTCTGCCCGTGCCTTGGTCTTGTCGTTGTTTCGCACCCATGTCTGTCGCTAAAAGAAAGAAAGAAAACAGACAACCCAAGGGAGGGATGGGCTGTCTGTCGCTATAGTACCTCACCTTGAAAAATCGCTTTCTTTTTTAGAGACTATGGAGAGTTCACGTCATGACGGTTAGCCGCTGTCATGACGGTTAGCCGCTGTCATGACAGCTGCCAGCTGTCATACAGCAAACGACAGCGACAGTGACACCTACCTGTCACCAGCTGTCACCAGCTGTCACCAGCTGTCACCAGCTGTCACCAGCTGTCGTTGCTGCTGTCGTTGCTGCTGTCGTTGCTGCTGTCGTAACCATCCCCGACGGTCCAACTGTCACTGCTGCTGTAATTGCGCAGCTGTCATTCCTGCTGTCATTGCTGCTGTCATCGCTGTCGTTGCTGCTGCTGTGCTGTCATTGCTGCTGTCATTGCTGCTGTCATTGCTGCTGTCATTGCTGCTGTCATTGCTGCTGTCATGAGCACCCCCGCAGGACAGTGTGTGGTGCCACTAGCGAGAGAGACAGGACACTCAAGATATAGATGCATGCGCGCGAGACCGCTCACTCGCACGCCCGACGCCACATGAGAAACCCTCTCAACAGTAGCCACGCACGCTCAGCAGCAGCGGGCGTGAGTCGGAGAATCTGCAAAACCCTTGCCCTCCTTCCTCCAGCATGTGCCGTGATGGGCTCCAGCGCTGGTTCATCTGCCGCTCAAAAATCTCACGCGAGCGAACGGTGTCAATCCTCAGCCGCGAGGATTGGGACCTTGAAATCACGATCACAAGCAAACGCGCAGAGCATTGAGCAACACACCTCGGGTTGAACCTCTCAAGGTGCATGCTGTCACCGGCAGTCTGCATGTGGATCGTAGACGATGACTATGGCTGGAATAAGCTCAAGTTCGTTCACGAGGGCTATGGCTGCCTCACGGCTGTGCCTGTGGCGCTGCCTCGCTGTCGCTGTCGCTGTCGCTGTCGCTGTCGCTGTCGCTGTCGCTGTCGCTGTCACTCGCGGGGCCCCGCGCTGACATTGTCACCGCCTGTCGTTGGCATTCACTGGCTTCACTGTCACTGTCACTATGGCTGTCACTGTTCCTGGTGCCTTTCACTCCTCCTTGGCAGCTGGCTGTCACCAGCTGTCACCAGCTGTCACCAGCTGTCACCAGCTGTCGTTGCTGCCGTCGTTGCTGCTGTCGTTTCGCAGCCGCTGTCATGACATATTGACCACGTCATGACGGTTAACAGCCGTTTTAACCGTCATGACGTGAACTCTCCATAGTCTCTTAGTCATCGTAGGGTAGGTTTGCTGAGAGAGAGAGACAAACGCCGAGCTTTTTGCTTGCTTTCGTACGCGCTTTCGTACGCGGCTACACAAGGGCTGGTGCGGAGAGCGGCGCCTCTGCACCGGGTCGGAGCACACACATGTTGCTCCTACTCCTGCCGCGCGCACCCCAAGCCTCGCCTCGCAACCGCTGCCTGGTCTCGACCGCCGGCGAAAACCTGCCATCGCCTCGCAGCGATCGGCTGCCATCTTCTCGCGGCGAGCGGCGGCGACAGAGGCTCGCCGCCGAGGGGCGGCATCGTCGGGTCAGCTGGCTGCTCGGGCAGCAGGGCGACCTCGCGCCAACGGAGCACGCGGAGCTGACCGGGCTCCTCCGCCGAGGAGACACGTACGACGCGTCCTCGTACTCCGCCTCGCACGCCGCCTTCAAGGCGGAGCAGAATGCCGTCTTTGCGAGCCTCGCGAGCAGCCTCGGTGGCGCGGCATCGCCCGTCGTTTACCTCGATGGGCCGGACGGCGGCTCGACCTCGGCCCTGCGCGCGGCCGGCTTTGCCACCGACCAACTGCACGTTGCAAACCCGCACGCGAGCACGTGCGCTGCGCTGTCCGCGCCACCACACAGCCTCGAGCACGTGGCGCACGCGAGCGCGGAGGAGGCCCTTGCCTCGGAGCAGTGGCGGTCACGCGCCTTTTGCGCAGCGTATTTCGACGGCTGCGGCGGCCAGGCCGAGCCGCTCATCGCAATGATTCGGGCGCTCTTCCACGAGCGGCGCGCCGCCGCCGCGGCGCTCGCCCCCGCCGTCGCCGTCGGCTTCACCCTCACGCGCGCCGAGCCGGGCGGCGCCTCGCTCGGCGACAGGGAGGTGGCGGTGCTGCGCGCGCTGACCGCCGCGGCAGGTGCCGTCGGGTACAGCAGCCCGTCGCACGTGGCAGACGACCCCGGGAGGTGGGGCTTGCGGCCAATGGGGAAGGAGCACGAGGGGACGACCACCGTGTGGACCGTGGTGGGCCGGCGGCCGGAGGCACAGGCAAGGTAAGTTGATATTCCAATTCTTTCTCGCCTGTGTTAGTGCCAGTGGTGCGCGCCTCCAGAGCGCCAATCTTCCCGTGCCCAAGAGAAAGAAAGAAAACCCGGGGCCGCAAAATCTTTCCGCGCAGCACCCCTCGCAGTGGCCTGGCGAACCGCGGGGGCCGCTGCAGCCGAGCCTCCTCACATCTCCTCCGACGACGCGCATGCCAGAACGGCCTCCTGACATCTCAACCGACGACGCGTCAGAGGTGTGCATCATCGGCGGCGGCATCGGCGGCCTCGCGCTTGCTGTCGGGCTGCAGTCCCGCGGCGTCCGCTGCCACGTGGTCGAGCGCGACTCAGGGTGGGACGAGCGGCGGCGTGGTTATGGGCTGACCCTCGGCCCAACCTGCATGACGGCGCTCACCAGCCTTGGCCTGCTAGAGCGGGTGCGTGCCGTCGATCAGGCGTGTCCCTCCGACTGGCACTGGGTGTTTGCCGCGAGCGGCGCCATCCTCGGCTACTTTGGCATCGCCTTTAGCGGCAAGCCGGGCGAGGCGCGAAATTTTCGCGTCCCGAGGCACGAGCTGCGCCGCATGCTGTACGAGCAGCTCGCGCCGGGCACCGTCCGGTGGGGCTTGCGGCTCGAGTCGTACGTTGAGGTGGCGGGTGGCGTCGAGGTGCACCTGAAGCCATCCC